TTGAAGACAGGCGTCTGCAGGTCGTTGGGGGTCTCAGGACCCCAGGAAATGTGGCATCCGGGGGTGGGGGTCTAGGACTTTTAATGGGGGGGATTATGGGAGATGTAGTCCGGCCCTTTGTGCCCAGCTGGAGGAAGAGCGGGGCACCCGAAACGTGGAGGCAGGATGGACGGAAGCCCCACATTTTGCTGGAGATGTTCTTTGGCCTTGGCTCAATGGCTTTCAAAGGGGATGAGGTGCCTGCGCAAATGGAGTCTTGATAGGCGAGTGGAGCCTCCTTATTCAGAGGCAGTGTACCTGGGTGCTCAAATGTTCAGAAAGGTTGGGGAGGCGTCTTTGAGGGGCGTCTCTGCAAACCTGGACTCTTTTCCTTCTGTCGCCCCATCTCTCTGGGCTGTTCAGTGACCATCTTGAAACTCCAGATCTGGGACTGAGAGCTCATTTTACGCTGAGCCATAATGCAGTTTGGTTGATCTGGGCTTGGCGTAATGAGTGAACCCGTCAGCCGTGGCTAGCTCAACAAACCAGGGTTGAAACAAAGCATGGCTCCTTTCTATAGGAAAACCCAGCCTGTTTCTCTCTAAAGTCATATTTCTTCCTTCAGCGTTCGCTTCCCCTGGATCAATTTTTAACATGTCTCATTCTTGTTAAGCTAATTATCCCTCTTTTTAAATTCTGTGAAATTTGAGTGAGAGAGAGAGGGAAAAAAAGGTATTTTTCTGCAACTGCTAAGGATTATTCCTAACTTCCTACAGAGACCTTCGATGGATCTGGGGCACTGTGACCCAGAGGTGGTTATGCCCATTATCCAGCTAGGAAAGTAAAGGTTCCCACAAACAGGACACTTTCCCAGCTTGGCACTCTGAAAAAGTCGGGGACTTTAACACCCAGGAACCTGGGTAGTCTGACATGAGGTTGGGGATGATGGGTTTATAGTCCAAAACCCCTTGGTGGAGGAGGAAATGGTGAGAAATCATTGCATCTGATTCTGCGGCTTGGCTTGCTTGCTGTTCCTTTTCACTGACATCTTGGGCAAAAATGGGGTTATCCATTCGCTTGTCCATTCTAGCGGGATGCTGGACTTTTAATAATCTCATTTTACTGTTCCACTTTCTCGAAATCGCATTTCTTGGGCGCAGGGGCAAAAAAAGAACATTTAAACCCCGCTTAAAAATTGATTAGCTTTCTCTTCTTCCAGCCCTGGCTTCATGCACTACCTCGACATCCTTCCTCAAACCATGGTTTCTTGAGTAAGCCACCATCGGTCCGATGCCCATATCATGCTAAGCCGTAACCCCCCGTTTGCCCACCACGACGGCTCGGTTCCCACTGTTCCCTTAAGCTGCAAGGAACCCAATGGGACCCGATTCCCAGGTTGCGTTCTCACGTCTAATTTTAACCAGGTTTGGGGCTGAATAAGCCCCAGCTGGGCTTGCACACCTGGCGCGGCCAAACTGCGCAAACCGTGCGACGGCACAGGGCCGGGCATGAACCGCGCTCCAATTTCAAGTCGTTCTGTTTCGGAAGGTCAAATCATTAGCCGGCAGGAGGAGATTTCCAGGCCGCTTGTAAATTTCTGCATCGGTCTCTGCAGAGAGCGATGTGAGACTAAAAGAAAAAAAAAAGGAAAGGAGAAATTAAATGTGGCAAGGCTCTGAGATGGGCTGTGCTGGGATCCCTGTTGGCTGAACCGCCTAGCCAGAAAGAGGACATGCTCCCTTTTAAAAAAAACTGCATTAAAGCCGCGGAAGAACGAAGGAGAGGTCCCAGCGGTTGTGGAAAGGGAGGGGGGAATCCTTTACGAACATTTCAACCCCTCCCCAGCCTGAGTGGCTTAGCCCAGTGCTGCTTGGGCATTAAATGTGCGTTAATGCCTGCAGCAAACCTCTCTTTCCCTTGGAAGAGTTAGCAAGAATTGGCTGCTCGGCTTCGCTTGCAACCCGCCTCCCCACCCCAGTTTTAAAGGGGAGGTTTTGGACTGCAGTTCGCTGGC